AAAAAAAAAAAAAAAAAAGGGAGGAGGGCAGCTCTCAAGCAGGGATGGGCGTGGCGTGATCCAATGCCTCAGGCGGGAGTTCTGCCTTGGCGGTTGTGGGGAGGAGAGTGGCGGTGCTCCAGTCCCTTCTTGAACCAAGCGCTGCACCTCGCTTTTTTGGGCGTGTAAACTCCCCATACCGGGGGTGCAGCCGAAGTTGGTTGCAGTCTTCAACCCAGGCCTGTCCCAGTCTCCAAATCCCAGTCCGCGCGCCCCGCTGAAATTGCCTTAGACACAGCTTCCCAGGCAACCCCCTCGGGGCAATTCCAGGCCCCCTGCTGAGCTCTGGGGGTGGAGTGAGAATCGCTGCTTCCTGCTCTGGGTCGGGCTGGGGAGCATGGGCGGGGGCTTGCCTGCTGGGTGCGCGGAGCCTGAGCCCGCTGGAGTGAGGGGAACCAGGTCCCTCTATGGCTCGTCACCCGAAACACGAACTCACAGGCAGATTTCCCAGTTTTTAGCTCTTTGCCTTCCCTCCAGAGTTCCAGCCACCCAGGAGCGCGGACACACGGTGTCCGCCTGCGGCTCTTTCAGGGGCCCAAGCCGCCCGGGAGGACAATGGCGGCAGGCGTGCCACTACTCTGAAGTCCAGTCCACCAGGAGCAAGCACAAAGAAGCAGTCTGTGCCTTCAGCACCCCCCCACCCCGCCCCGGGACCAGCTGACGTGAGGGGACCTGGTGTGCAGGTATTTGGCAAGTATGGTCTTTCTATACCCCGAGCGGAGGTTTTTCCCCCCGAGCAGAGGTTTTTCTGTTTCAGACTCTCTCTTTTTCCCCTCTCACTCCCAGGAGAGGGTAGAGGGGGATCGCCTCCGACCCTGGAGTCTCCGATCCCAGCCCGATTTTATCTTCCCCAGTTCGCACTCACGTTAGAAGACTTTCTCAGTGGATTCTGCATCCTTTTTCTCCCAGTCTCTCAGGTTTTGTAAGGTTTCCAATGGCTTCAGATCTTTTCCGTGTGATGTATGGGTGCGAGTGCAAGTACGGAGCTCCTTACTTCTCTGCCATCTTGCCCCCTCCCTCTCTAGCCCCCACTCCTAACCCAGAACTGAACTGTCAGTGCCCCTTGAGGACTTAATAGCAACCAGGCTCAGGGTCTCTGCTATGTCCCACCCTCTAAGCTCCCAAAGCCCCCAGAGTACTGTCTGTGCTGGGTCCCAATCCCTTTCCACAGGTCTTGGTTTCACTTACATTGCTGGAATTACTCTGGAGGCTGCCTCAGGAATTGGGGCCCAGAGGCAAGACCTGGCTCCAAAAAGAAACCAGTGATACAAGCAGGCTTAAACCCACTCTTCCTCTCTACCTCAGGTCCCACATCCTGACAGGCAAGGGAGACAGGGCCCATTCCTGTTGTCCTCTGGATCAGCGGCATCTCCAGGAGCAAGACTCTCTACCATGGGAATGATGCCCTCTGCAGCTGTTCCCACTGTGCACAAAGAACAGACTAATTCTAGAAAAATTGCTCATCATCTTGCTTTCTCATATGGATAGGGGTCTGGGTGGGAGAGAGCTGTGCTAGAAGTGGAGAGAGTAGTAGACCACTCCTGGGGTGCACCTCCCCATTTTGAACATGTCACTTCCATGCTCTCCCCACCTCCCATTTGACTAATCCTGTCTAATGGCCTCATCTGCTGGACTCTGAAGTATGCAAAGACTGGGAGCCAGACAAGATTTACTACCTGATTGCAGGCCAGTATTTCCACCTTTTAAGTCCCCACAACTCCTTGAGGAGAAGTTCTATGGCCATGTATTTAAGTAAAGGTCACCAGACTGGGAGTCACATCTCAAGTTCCCTAGTCCTGGCTTTCCACCTAAATTCTAGAGTTCAAGAGGTAATAATAATGCTTATTAAGTATATTATTAAGAGACTAACCTTCCCTGATTTGCTTTACTTCTACAAATTTGGCCATCTGTTTTGGACATAAAAGTGGCTTCTCTATGCCTGTGATCTTAGAGCTGGAGTGGGGTGGACACCATGATGGGGTATGATGAGCCAGTGGACCCTTAACTTTTTCTGTCCTTCAGACCTGTAGACAGTTGTGGGATATGAGAAGACTCTTCATTCACTGCAAATGTATGGGCACCATGTGCCACTTTGCCTTTTTCTTTGGATCCAAAACCTTTCAACTTGTCTCCCACATCCCATTCTAAGTTCACAGTATTCAACCGTCACATAGCTACTACATACAGGTACACTCAACCCTGTTTCATTAATCCAGAACTCCTTCTCTAGTGTTAACATAGAGGGAAAGCAGGTGACCCTAGAATATTCGTTTGGGGTAACGGTAAGCATAGCCCTTAGCGACTTCCCTGATGTTCTCCCACTTACACACACTCAGAACTGGAAGTGCCATCCTCATCACTGGAAGTACAGTAAAGGCAGAGGCAAAAGAGGGTGACACTGTAGACTTCATAAAGCTAAGCTAAGAGGAATTCACAGGGCCGACCTCCACCCCAGCTCTTCACAAGAGAGAGACGGGGCTCTCAAGGGCAAGTGTCCTCTATTCTTCACCAAGAGATCCAGGGACAAGATTTCTCCTGCTTCTGGACTTTAGGTCTAGTACCCTCTCCCAAATTTCAATCCACTTGATTCAATCCACTTCCTGGAGCCCAAGTGGGACCCTGAATCCCGCTCCATAATGTCTTTGGAAACCTATCCCCTATAGCTGTATAAATTTCAAAATAGAGTGGAAGCAGAAGAAAGACAAGTTAAACCAGATCTTGGGGTAATGTCTTCATAGTATTTCTCATCTTTTTAGAATAGTTTTTGTTTGCATAATGACAGTATCATGAAAACAATGTATAATGAAAGGATAAGGAGCAAGCCTACAATACTCAAGGCCAAACTCCCTCCATTCTCCTCCCTTCTAGAAGCACATACAGAACACAGGACAGACAAAAGCAACCATTCTACCTTCTTTTGAGGGAAAAACATATATATTTGGGAATATTAAGTATTTGGATGTGCTAATGAGAAAAAAAAACATTTTCTCTACATGGATTAATTTTTTTCTTGGAGACATGTTTTCCTACTAGGTATAAAGACATATTTTATGATCGACCAAATAGGGAGGTCTGAAGAAAACAGTGCCGTGGACAGTGTTGATGGTGGCCAGGGGCACCTGGCATCCTTGGCCCATACTGGCAAGGACTGACTGGAGACAAAGTCTTCTTGGGAGGCAGGGATGGGAGGTGTGTCGAGTCCAGCTGCTCATCCTCAAATCTTACACTTTTAAAGGACTGTCGGTGTTTAACCTGCTTTTCCTTGATAGAACTACTCTGACTATTGGAGATGTCTTGGTGATTGTGGGCTGTATAACTCATTATTCTCCCTTGCTCTGGGTAGAAGGGAATCCTGTGGTAGCAGAAACACCCACATACTGGTGCTTGGAGTTCCTGTTTGTTATCATTTAACTTTGTGACATGAAGTCCATGGTGAATTGCCACTTTTTCCTCTAGAATCTGTCCAACAGCTGTCATGAGTGCCTGAGCCTCAGTAGTCTCATTAGCCATAATTGATCTGCTTCTGACTGGTCCTTGGCTCTGGGCAGAGACTATTATTGGCTTACATTTTTGCAGAATATTCTGACCTTTGACTTTTCTATTGGGGAAAATCCATTGAAAAAAGTGCCTCATCCTTTTTCTGAAGAGGTTTTCTGGAGGACCTTGTTTCTTCCCTGGCAGGAGCTGGATGCATCTGTTCCTAACAGAGTCTACTATTCCCCTGACTGGGGAAGGGTGACTCATACTTTCAGCTTGAGATGTCCTCAATTCTTCAAACCGTTCTTTATTCTTTCCTGAGTTGGGCCTCTTACAGTCCTCTCTCTTATAAGTAGAGTTAGTCATCTTGCTCTGGTTCTTCCATGAGTCTTGGAGTCTAGAGAGCACGGGCTCCTGCTGACTTAAGAAGCTCCTTTGGTCTGCCATGAAGCCGTATAGTATCTGGGAATCTACCTTGTCTCCAGTAGGCACTGTCTGGGGATAACAATGCGGCACCTGAGAAGCCAAGTTGTCTACAGCAAGGAGCATGTGTGTAGGACAGTCTTGAGGCTGGTTATCTGGCTTTATCTTCAATTTGGACTTAAATTCACTAACGTCTGTGTTAAGGCATGACTCTCCAGTATCTTGGAAAGCAGACATTGTAGAAAGTTTTTTACTGGTATCTAAACCCCTCATATGTGCATTTATGGTTTGGGGTTTTGTGAGCACATTGGTTCCCAAGATGGGGCTAGACTGTGGTTGAAGAGTATGAGACTTTGCCTCCACTGCCTCCCTGGCCTTTTCAGCCCTAAAATATTGGGGTCCCAAGTTCATCTTCTGCATTGCTACATTATGGCAGGGGTCTTGTGAGGCCCAATACTCACTCTCCTCTCTTTGCTCATTCCTGGCCATTGGTGAACTGGGACTCAACTCATGGCTGCTCCTTTCAGCCCATTCTGCAGAACCACTCTTTGGAGTTCTGTCTATGAGGCTGAGTGTGAGAGACTGAGAAAGTGGCCTGCTGTTCTGTCCAATCAGAGAGGCCTTTGAGGGCCCCTGGTTGTCATCGGATGGGGTTCTTACCAGGGACCTCGGGATTTCCTCATATGTGGGTGAAGTGGCAAGGAGAGGCCTCTCCAGAATAGGACCTGACTCTTCTGTTATAACTATCTTTCCCAGACATGTCTGAGAAGGTTTTCCCAGGAATTTGGCAAACTTGACTATTGAGGGGGTCCTGGGCAAAGGTTGAACCTTTTTCAACTTAAAGAGATTTATGGGCTTAAGGACCTTGAGGGGTAGACCCCACTTGTGCCTTACCCAAAACTTTATAATATGTGCTTCCAGCACTTCTTGAATGTCTGGATCAAGGAAGGAAACCCTGTGGGAGGTGTTCACATATGGTCCCCAACCCTTCAACATTCCTAGATTTCTGATTTCCCTTTGAGTGTTGGGCTTGGGAAAAGCATGATTGACAGCAAGCCAGGATTGATGCACACTCACAGGGATCAGACTCTCCCTGATCTTTCCCAACTTCCTGCCCAAATGGTCTTTCAGGAGGTTTTCTAGTTTCTTATCTAAGCTCTTTAGTAAATCACTTCCTGAGTCACTCGTTGACGGCCCCAAGTCACTTTCTAACTCCTCAGAGTTTACTTCCTGAAACCCCATTAGAGACCTTTCTGAGTCCCCGGAGAGATCTTTTGAGACCTTTCCCAAAATACACCCCAGGCCTTTACCCATGCCCTGACTTAGCTGGAACCCCACTTTCCGTGTATCCTTGTTGCTTTTACCTGCACATGCAGAGGACCATGAGGGTCCATGCTTGCCCTTTGCCTGACATGTCCCTGGTAATTCACCCTGAAGCTGCCTTAGTTCCAGAGACTCTTGGATCTTACGGGGTAGTTCCCACCGGTGTTGGATGAGCCACTTTTGTAGGTGTTGCTCCAGTTGCTTACGGAGTTCAGGACTGATTGGAAAATTCTCAGGAAGCAGGGAGACTGCCCAGCTGTCTTCAGGAAGATTGGAAGTGAAAACACTAAAAACTTCTTGAGATCTTTTGATTGCAGAGGATAAAGCCCACCCACTTTCTAGTTGCTTCTGCAACAAAGGCCATTCTGGATGTTGAATCTCAGTTGGGATGAGAAATTGTGACTTATCTGGGCCTATAGGGCAAGATATTTCACAGGCCTTAATCTGAGGTGGTGAAGGTGATAGGTTTGGAAGAGAGGATTGGAGATGATCCTGAGTCAGGATTTGAGCTAGGGGTGGTGGTTGGAATTGAGGTATAGTTGACATCAAGGATTGAGATTGGAACTCCAGTTGGGACAGGTGTTGGGACTGGGAAAGCAGTGGAGATAGTTTGGCCTGCATTTGAATTGGGCAGGCACTTGAGATTCCATTGAATAAGAGAGAGGGAGACTGTAGCACTGGAGAGCCCTCAGAAATCCAGGCAGTAGCCACCAGAGATTCGCTATGTAGAGAGGGGAGACCCCAGAAAAGCTGGTTATATTTCTGCTGTAGATGGGGCCCCAAGACCTTAGGATATGAGAGTTTCTGAGGACCAGACAGCTGCTCTGATTTTCCTTTTGTGCTCCAGAAATGTTGGGGGCTTGTGTTCTGTTCAGGACTCAGTGATTTCAACATATTTCCTAAAGAATTCAGGTGGTAGTCTGGGTTTTGGATTGCATATGATTCATTTTTTTCTTTTTCTTTCAAAATCTTGATCTTGACTCTTTTTTTGACTTGTATCTCCAGAAGCTTCTGATCATCTGAGCTCAGCAAAGAGGGGCTAACAGCTCCTATGTGTCTGTTGGTCAGGTTTCCCCAGAATGAGGCCTTTGGTGAGTAGTGGGAAAGGTGTTCTTGCTGAGACTCATAATTTGATGAGGTTGAGAGGCACAGGGCTTTGGCAGCAGTGTGCCACCAGGACAGGGTTGAAATGGGACAACTTGAGTGGCCAAGGCCTGAGATGGCTAGGACAGGAGTAGCTGACCAAGGGGTGTGAGACGACCTATGTGGAATGGTGCTCAGTGGGAATGTCAAGGAGTCACAGTGAGGAAGAGTCAGAATAGAGTCTGGAGGTTGTGGAGCAGAGGAGGCTGTCAGAGGTGGAGAGCAGGCCTCTGAATTAAGGGGATGAGGAAGGGGAGGGGAAAGAACAATTGGCTGGGTTGGAAGGCTGTCGAGGGGAAGGAAGGGCTCTGGTGGCAAAGAGGCATTCAGAGATGAGTGGGAATGAACAGAAATTGAAGAGACTGTTGAGCCAAGAAGTAGAGGGCGCTGGGTCAGAGGAACTGGGGTAGCCAACAAGGACATGGTGGGAGCAGCATCATCCACAGTCTCCCTGTATGGCTGGTGGGCTCCAGCAGGCACTGCTTTGCACACCTCACCAGGGAGGTCTTGACATAAGAGTTGATGAAAGCCACCCTTGTCAGGGAGCCTCCCCAGGCAGCTGCAGGAGACAGGAAGCAAAAGCTGCAGCTAGAAACTGACAGGGCAAGGAAGGCAGGGCAGTCTGGGCAGGGATAAACACCTGCAACCCACAGCCCTTCACAGTCTCCATACTGACTTCACATTGCTCCTGCTATTCCTTACCCCAGAGCTTTAATCATACTTTGTTCCCATGTCTCCCCCTCTCAGGATTCCCTGTGGACCAGGGGTCACATCATAAACTGGGACAAAGGAGGAGCAAGGAAAAGGGGAAGAAGTGGAAAGATTCTTTACCTTTGCAGAAGTGAAATCAGACTGCGAGCTCCCTCTAATTCTTTCAGGCAATTTTTGCAAGCTGGAAATAAGGAGGCTGGGTTACAGTTGTGAAAGTAGGGCCCTAAATGTCTTAGGGGAGACTGAACACAATGTCCTTTTAGGGGGATACTGTTGGGAGATTAGACTATGGAGGCCAAGCATCACTGTTCAAAGCCACATGATCCCTCACAGTGATAGCAAGGTTTATGATGGGGAGCACTTTGTCATTTACATTACCCTCCAGGGCCCTCACAGCTGCCTTGTTGGGGATAAAGGACAAGGGTCACCTCACAAATGAATCTGAGTGAAGTTAAACCACTTATTGACCTAGATATCTGTTCCACCTCTGAATCTAGGCATTAATGGTCTACTACAGCCCACACACCCCTGTCAGCTGACACCCATTTCAACCCCTATCAACTTCCTTCCAAGCATAGAATCTGTGAAATATACAGTAGTTGATCTCCTTCCCAAGAACCTCTGTGAGGGCTCTGTTTCCTGAGGGATGATCTCTGCCCCTGGCATCCTTGGAGATCGTGAAATTAGACCCTCAGGGGCAAGAGAGATGGAGGAGAACTTGGCACATGTAGGGCTAAATGGCATAAGCTTACCTTTCAAATCTCTGCTTTTTTTTTTACTCTTGTTCCTCCTCATCATTTCCACTTGACTCTACAAAAGAAGATGAGGGGCTGGGACTCAATTATCTCTTCTCTCTAGATCATTCGCAGGTGCTCATTGTTCATAAACTATGACTTTCTACATTTCTACATCTAATGGGGCTCTGTGGTCTTTTCTTTTACTCATTTTTAAAATAAATAGAATATTTTTAGTTTTTCTTCTTTGAAGAATGCAAAGATTGATTTTCTATGTGAGATCACTATGAATTTCTTTCATCACTATTCCTCTACTCAAGAAACACACATACGCAGAGGGTGATAAGCATGGAGGAGGGCACTTGTTGGGAAGAGCACTGGGTATTATATGGAAACCAACTTGACAATAAACTATATTTAAAAAAAAAAAGGAACACACACATACAGGTCCTTCTATGCTCTGTTTCCCGAGTTCAGACGCCCCACTCTAACCCTTTAGATGCTCTCTGGGGCTCAGTACTGCCTTCACATCAGCCTAACACAGAGGAAGAGCTCACCTGAGACATCTGTCACAGGAAGGAGAAAGTGACTGGTAAAACAATGCTTAGGAGTCTGTCTTCCTGCAGAGAATGAACTCAGTATACAGTTCTCACTCACTGGTCACTGCATTTGGGACTTTGCCCAGGAGATGTGGGGTCTGGGTCAAAGATGTTGGGATGGAAATCCATATGCCCACTCAGCTTTGCCTGCCCTGGCTGGTCCCCAAGAAGGATGATGTTCTATTCTTTCCTCAGGTTTCCCATCTCACAAGTCTCTCCAGATGATTTAGAAAAGTGAATATGAGAATAAGAAAATTTAAAAAGATAATCCCTGTTGGGGTTTAGCCAAAGTTTCCTTACCTTCCTGACATTTCTATATTTCTTAGCTGGTGGTAAGGATGGTTTACTCTGAAAGCAGGGGAGTAACAGAAGGAAGAGTCCCAATCCACACAGGAAGGCAAAGATGGTATCAATCACCCAGGAGGTGGAACCAGAACTCAGCCAGGTGGTACCAGTGCTTCTCAGAGAAAAGAAATTCTCCATCTTTGGAAATCTGCTCTCCTCAGGCAACTGAGCACTGATAGTTCACTTGGGGACAGAACTCCAGGCCTGCATCACAGAGCTAAAGCCTTGTCACAAAGGGTTCTTGAGAATGGGGGAGGGGGTGTTGAGAAAAGCAGGGTAGACCACCACCCCTCCCCCATCATTCAGTCCCACAGATCCCTGCAATTCCCTGGGCCTTCTAGATTCCTCCTCCCAACTCTACACTCATCTCAGAGAGACCTTAGCCAATTTTCTATTCATTCAATCTGGAACTCAGATATTACCTGGTCCCTTTTGCCCATTAAGGGTCTTGACTATGGCCCACCAATTTTATAGCCCTTGAAAATTTGAAGTTGACCCTAGAATTTTGGCTATTTCCCAAGGAATTTTACTTTCTGGATTTTCTCTGTCCTCATCTCTAGCTTCCCATATAATGTTTTTGTCTTGTATAAACCCAGGTACATAATTTAGATTTCTTTTGCATTTAATTAGTTTTATGAATTTTAGTGTTTGCTTTGTCTCATTCTCAGAAGGACATATACACAGAAAAATAAAATTATTCAAAATTCATAAATCAAAGTATGAAAGTTACTTTTTAAAGTTTGTGGCATTTGTAATTCTGAAGTTAGTAAAGCTTTAAACTGCACAAAGACTTTTGGGACATGCTGGATACATACACATATTCACAGACATACATACACTTAACCTTTCACAAAACAATCCAGTATTTCCAAATCCAAGAATCCACAATTTTCTACAGAAAACATTTTTTCATCTATTGTCTTGACCTGATTTTATACTTTATTTTTGTTTTATTTTGAATTTTTAAATTTTCCACATAAGTTTTAAAACGTTGTTTTAGTTCATTACAGCTTCTATAACAAAATACCACAGAACAGGTGGATCAAACAACATAAATTTATTTCTCACAATTCTGGGGTCTAAGTCCAAAGTCAAGTGCCCCAGCATGGTCACATTCTGGTGAAGTACCTCTTCCTGGTTCATAGCGCTTTCTCACTGTGTCCTCACATGGTGGGAAGGGGTGAGGAATCTATCTGGAGACTTTTTTGTAAGGCACTAATCCCTTCCACAAGGGCTCATAAATGTGTTCCAATGGTCTCATCTCTTCTTTCTTTAGGAGTTAGGATTTGAACATATGGATTTGGGTGGGGGGACACACACACTCAACAAATGTATGTGGCACATATGCCACACTCAGAAGCCAGGAATGGGTTAGTTTATTTATACTCCTTTATAATAGTCTCACCTCAAATTAAAATTTTATCAAAATTTGGACTTCTTTGTATTCATATCTGCCTTCTATATTTTCTTTATTACTTTATTTTTAATATGTTTTGTTTGATGGGTTTTTTGATATTTAAAATCTTATCAGACAATCTTACCTTGATTAAATTAATTGCTATTTTATTATGATTTATTTCTGCCATGTTATTTTGATTTGTTTTCCATATTTTCTTTATTCTTTTTTCTTCTCTTTTTGCATCTTCCAATTATGGATCAAATGTTCTTTTTATTCAAAATTTGAGAGTTTTAATATCATAATGGTTTTATATCATTAATTATGTTAATTTCCTTCTCAGTTTCTTACATGTGTCAATACTAATATTATCTCAGCAATCCAGAATACTCTTGCCTCCTCTATTTTGCTTTCTCTGTAATGACAGCCCTTACTTCAAGAGGATATTACTGAAGTTTTGCTTCTGGGTTATTTTGTATATGCCACGATTTCATGTATTTTTTTATGATACAGTAAACATCACTAATATCAATCCTTATGTCCCCACAACTGCATGTTCGTAGATTTATTTTTCTTCCTCCTGGAGAATTTCCTCTAGGAATATTTTCCAACAGACTTATGTAAAATAAAACTGTTGAGGCCTTCTTTTCTTTTTTCTTTTTTAAATGCTCTCTCAGCATCAGTGGGAGGGACAGAGAGGGTGGGGACAGAGAATCCAAAGAAGGCTCCATGCTGACAACAGCAAGCCCAACGAAGGGCTAGAACCCACAAACCCTGAGATCATGACCTGAGGCAAAGCCCGAAGCTCAACCAGTTGAGCCACACAGGCTCCCCAGTCTTATTTTCTGATAAGATCTTATTTCTCTGCCCTTGTATTTAAAAGATCTTGGCTGCATATAATTCAAAGCTTAAATTTTCATTCCTTTCAATTCTTTAAACACATTACTCCACCCCATCCTTGTCTCCAACATTGCTGTTGAAAAGCCTGATATCAATCAAAAGTCACATTTTCTTTAAAAGATGATCTGACTTTTTATCATTTCAACAGGATGCTATAAAAAAAGAAGTATAAATCACTTTGCAACTATAAACTTAACTAAGTTTATAGTTAAATTATAGTTTATTAAGAAGCGATGTTGTATTTTGTCAAATGCTTTTTCTGCATCTATCGACAGGATCATATGGCTTTTATCTTTTCTTTTGTTGATGTCATATATCACACTGATTGATTTGCGAGTATTGAACCAGCCCTGTAACCCAGGAATGAATCCCACTTGATCTTGGTGGATAATTCTTTTTATGTGCTGTTGCATTCGATTAGCAAATATCTTGTTGAGGATTTTTGCATTTCTATGCATCAGGGATATTGGCCTGTATTTCTCTTTTTTTGCTGGGTCTCTGTCTGTTTTGGGAATCAAAGTGATGCTGGCTTTGTAAAATGAATCCGGAAGTTTTATTTCAATTTCTATTTTTTGAAACAGTTTGAGAAGTATAGGTATTAATACTCCTTTAAATGTCTGGTAGAATTCCCCAGGAAAGCCATCTGGTCCAAGACTCTTATCTGTTGGGAGATTTTTGATAACTGATTCAGTTTCTTCATGAGTTATGGGTCTTTTCAAATTTTCTATTCCTTCCCATTTGAGTTTTGGTAGTGTGTGGGTGTTTAGAAACTTGTTCATTTCTTCCAGGTTATCCAGTTTGTTGGCATATAACTTTTCATAATAATCCCTGATAATTGTTTGTATTTCTGAGAAATTGGTTGTAACAAATCCATTCTTACTTGACACATTTCCAAAGGCAAGGGAATTAAAAGGAAAAATGAACTATTGGGACCTCATCAAGACAAAAGCTTTTGCACTGCAAAGGAAACAATAAAAGAAACTAAAAGGCAACTGATGGAATGGGAAAAGAAAAAAAAAAAAGACAGTTGCAAATGACATATCAGATAAAGGCCTAGTATCCAAAATATATAAAGAACTCACCAAACTCCACACCCAAAAAAACAATTAATCCAGTGAACAAATGGCAGAAGACATGAATAGACACTTTTCCAAAGAAGACATCCAGATGGCCAACAGACACATGAAATGATGCTCAGCATCCTCCTCATCAGGGAAATACAAATCAACACCACACTGAGATACTACCTCACACTGGTCAGAGTAGCTAAAAGTAACAACTTAGGAGACCAAAGATGCTGGTGAGGATGTGAAGAAATGGAAACCCTTTTGTACTGTTGGGGGGAAAGCAAACTGGTGCAGCCACTCTGGAAAACAGTGTGGAGGTTCCTCAAAAAATTAAAAATAGAACTACCGTATGACCCAGAAATAGCACTACTATGAATTTACCAATGGGATACAGGAGTGCTGATTCATAAGAGCACATCTACCCCAATGTTTATAGCAGTGCTTTCAACAATAGCCAAAATATGGAAAGAGCCTACATGTACATCAACTGATGAATGGATAAAGATGTGGTTTATATATATACAATGGAATACTATTTGGCAATGAGAAGGAGTGAAATTCTGTCATTTGCAGCAACATGGATGGAACTCGAGGGTATTATGCTAAGTGAAATAAGTCTGTCAGAGAAATACAGATATCATATGTTTTCACTCATATGTGGATCAGGAGAAACCTAACAAAAGACCATGGGGGAAAGGAAGAGAGTAAAAAGTTAAGGAAGACAAACCATAAGAGACTCTTAGAGAACAAATTGGGGGTTGATGGGGCTTCAGGAAAGGGAAAGTGGGTGATGGACATTGAGGAGGACACTTGTTGGGATAAGCCTTGGGCGTTGTATGGAAGCCAATTTGACAATAAATTATATTAGATAGATCAATCAATCGATAGATAGATAAAAACATAAAATGAAAAGAAAATTTAAACAGACTCATAAAAAAATTGAATCAGTAATCAAAAATCTCCCATCAAACAAGAGTCTGGAGCTAAATGGCTTCCCAGGGGAATTCCACCAAACATTTAAAGAAGAAATAATATCTATTCTTTTGAAACTGTTCCAAAAAATAGAAATGGAAAGAAAACTTCCAAACTCATTCTATGAACCCCAGCATTACCTTTATTCCAAAGCCAAAGACCCCACTAAAAATGAGAATTATAGGCCAACATCTTTGATGAACATGGATGCAGAAATTTTCAATAAAATACTAGCAAATCAAATTCAATAATACATTAAGAATTATTCACCACAATCAAGTGGGATTTATTCCTGGTCTGCAGGGCTCATTCAATATTTGCAAATCAATCAACATGATACACCACATTAATAAAAGAAAGGATAATAACCTATATGATCCTCTCAATAGATGCAGAAAAAGAATTTGACAAAATACAGCATCCACTCTTGATAAAAACCCTCAACAAAGTAGGGAGAGATGTAACATAATTCAATGTCATGAAAGCCATATATGAACGACCCACAGGTCATAACATCCTCTCAGTTTTTCCCCTAATATCAAGAACATGATAGGTATGTCCACTCTCACAATTACTATTTAATTTAGTACTAGGAGTCTTAGCCTCAACAATCAGACAACAAAATGAAATAAAAGGCATTCAGATTGGCAAGGAAGAAGTCAAACTTTCACTACTTATAGACAGCATGATACTCTATGCAGGAAACCTGAAAGACTCCACCAAAAAATTGCTAGAACAAATACCTAAATTCAGCAAAGTCACAGGATATAAATTCAATGTGCAGAAATTTGAGGCATTACTAT